TGGCTTTCCAGTGGAGAGCTCTTTGGAACGACTTGACAGAGCGGCAGTCACAAAAGTGTGCGGAAGATGATTTGACATATTGGCCGCCAACCATACAGTGGGGGCGCGCATCAAGCAACCATGTGCTTTTCGTCGGGGCACCCTGGGTTTCTTGGCTCCCCGCGCTGCGTGGTGACTCCCCGCGGCCGTTGAAGAAGCTGCCGCGATCAGAGTGCCCTCGGCTTCCCCCAAGTCGCACCTCTCGCGCGGGTCTTTTAGGGCTGAGATTCTCGCGAGGGTTTCTTGCGGCCGCGCCGTCGTCGGCGAGCCTGGGGGGAAGCGAGAAGGGGCGGGTCTTCCCAGAAGGCTCGGACATCCCTGGCCTTCTGCGAGGCTTTCTGACCCTTCCCCGAAGACGCAGACAACTACTTCTCAGAAGGCGCGAGGGCGCCTGAGCGGACCTGTTGCCTCCTGAGGAGGCCTCCTCCCTCGCGCTTCCCCGCCCTCGCTCGCCGCCGAGCTCTGGCGTCGGCGAAAAAACAACCGAGAAGGTCGAAGGCGCCCCCACCCCCTCGGCGCCCCGCCTCCCGCCCCTCAGCGCCGCCTCCGCTTCCTGCCTGGGCCTCCCCGATGGCGTCCGAGCAGGCGGGGCCGCTGGACCGCGCCGCCTCTCGCCGATGCGTCGACGATGCATCGACGCTGCGGCTCGACGTGGCGGCCGTGGCTCCCTGCGCCGATGGCGCCGATGCACTGCCGGTGCGTCCGGGGTGCAGCGGCGATCGGTGATGAGGCTCGATCATCCGACCCCATCTCAGGGGAACGCAGAGTGAAATGCGCAGAACAGCTCGGAGGTCCGCGCGGACCTCTCGGGGGGTCCAGCGCGGATCCGAGCAATCCGCGCGGACCTCTTAGTCTTAATGCTTGTGTCATTCTGCCTTCCCCTACATCTACTCGGACCCCATCCAGGGGGCCTCTATCCTGCGGAAGACTCACGGTGGAAAACAAACAACAGAACACAAAACACACGGTGGGAGACACACACAGTGGAAACACACACAGTGTGTGTACCTTTTCCGCACACAGTGTGTGTGTGTGTGTGTAAGTGTGAGTGTGTGTGTGTGTTGTGTGAGTGTGTGTGTGTTGTGTGTGTGTGAGAGTGTGTGTGTTGTGTGAGTGTGTGTGTTGTGTGTATGTTGTGTGTGTTGTGTGAGTGTGTGTGTGTGTGGTGTGTGAGTGTGTGTGTGTGTGCGTGTGATTTTCCACCGTGTATGTGTGTGTGTGTGTGTGTTTCAATGTGTGTGTTTCCACAGACTCCACTCGAACCCCATCCAGGGGGCCTCTATCCTCCTCCTCCTCCTCCTCCTCCTCCTCCTCCTCCTCCTCCTCCTGCTCCTCCTCCTCCCCCTCCTCCTCCCCTCCTCTCCTCCTCCTCCTCCTCCTCCTCCTCCTCCTCCTCCCCCTCGAGGCCCATCCAGGGGGCCCTGTCTGCCGCCCGCTTCGCCCCTCCCTGGCGGCGGCGTCCCCGCGCCTCTCTCCGGCGGAGGCCCTGGGCCCTCCGCTGGCACCAGGCCCTTCCCCTTCCCCCTCTCCCTCCTGTCCTCCTGCCCTCCTCATCCCCTGCCTCTCCCTCCTCCTCCTGCGCCCCAGCGGCCTCCCTCCTCTCCCCACTCCCCCTCCTCCCCCTCCCATCCTCCCTGCCCCCCCTCCTCCTCTCGCATCCTTGCTCCTCCCTCGTCCCCCTCCTTCTTCCCTCCTCCTCCCTCCTCCCCCTTCTCCTCTCCATCCTTCCTCCTCCCTCCTCCCTCCTCCCCCTCCTCCTTCCCTCCCTACTTCCCTCCCTCCTTCCCCTCCTCTATCCTCCCCCTCCTCCCTGCCCTCCCCCCGCCCCCCCTCTTGCTGCTCCTTCTCCTCTTCCTCCCGCTCCTGCTCTCCCCCTTCTCCTCTCCTCCTCCTCCTCCTTTGAGAAAAAGAGAAGAATCATATCACTAATAAGCATAAGCTTCCGTGAGCTGCTGCTTCTGCTCACGCGACTATTTCTTATCCTGTTTTCTTTCTTTCTTCTTCTTGGATCGGCGCTGGGCTCCCCCTGGCGGCACCTCTGGCGCCGCCCGTGGCGCGCTCCGCGCGCCAGGGACGGGGGGACTGCGTCGATCCAAGAAACCCGCGTGGTCCTCCAAAGCTTGGGTTTATGGCAGTGCTTTTTGCTCGTTTGCTCCCCCATCCTCCTCCTCTTCCTCCTCCTCCTCCTCCTCCTCCTCAGCATCGTCACCCCCTTACTCCTCGCTTTGCCCGCGGTATGCTGCAAGCGACGCTAATCAAGTGGACAACAGTAAAGTACAAAAGCGCGGGTCACAGTCTCAGGCCATCAGGCCGGACGGTTGCCGCTTTGTTTCTTGGGTGTTTCCCACCCCCCCCTCGCCTCCTCCCCTCTCCTCCTGCTCCTGTGCACCGATGCTCGACGCTGCGGGCATTGGCACCATCCATGTGGCACTGCCCCTCCTCCCCCCATCCCCCCAGGGTA